TCATTGTACACTGAGAAATCATCAGGGGAGCTATGGCAAGTTGGGGACTGTCCACAGCAGATTCACATTGGAAAATCAACTTGCCTCCCCAGCTCTGGATATTCCCATACAAGGTGCAAATGAAAACGCCCCCCACCAGGGTTGGCTGTTGACATTGAGGTGGTGCATCATGGAAATCACGGCCCTTACAGAACTCAAGAGTGTGGGTGGAGGTGGCTGAGATTCTCCTGCCTAACCAGGTGACAATATCACCTTCCTCCCAGAGAGCAGTCAACACTCACTATCTACTTGTTCTGCTACAGCAATGGACAGGACAGGTCCAGTTGTGGACTAGCAAAGGTGGGCATGAGGGCAAGCAAAGATGTCAGTGAGCAGATGTACATACCATGAGATGGAAAAAAGTCCAGAAGCACTTGGGTGGGACAGCATTTGACCTCCACATGGCACCAGGTGAACTCCATGCTACAGGATTCGATCACATTCACCTGGAGTACCAGGTAAGGCTGGAAGCTCAGGTTTGCTAAACACTGCTCTGGGCAGGACAAGAAAAACTCCTCCATGAGAGGACAGAGCAGGGCATGGGGAAATTCACAGAGAGGTCAGGGAAGGGCTCTCTGAGATGTCACTTAGGAGCTTAGACCTGAGAGCCACATCAGAGGTAACCAGGCCAAGGTCTAAGGGGAAAACATCTGGCTGAAGGGAGGGTTCTAAGACACAGAGGACCCTCCCTAGAGGAAGACAAAGGACGTCAATAGGGCTACAGTGCAGAGGAGGAGAAAAGAAGCAGAGATATGGGTCTGAGGGCTATTGGGCCTGTGTCATGAAAAGGACATGGGTTTCTGTGACTGAGCTGGGGAAACTTCAGAGGTGCTGATCTCTCTGGCTTTTGTGTAAAATCTGTTTCCATGTGACCAGTGGGGAGGCCACTGGGTCATCCCAGAAAGAGAAGATCAGGCTAGGGTGGGAATAGTGGGGTAGGAATCGGCTGGAATTGCACTGAAAGTTTCTGAATGTGCAGCTGACCAGTGTAGGGGTGCAAGTGGCCAGGGAGTTTGGAAGAGGCAGCAGCAGCTGAGTCTCAGGGAAACTCACCATTGCTGCACTGCAGGTTCTGTCCTGGGCAAGGCTCTCAGTTTCATAATGCATATCCCAGCTTGAGGAGAGACTGTGATGCCCAAGAACAGCTGAGAAGTCAAGTTGGGGAGCCAGGAGTCAGGCCCAGAAGATAGATTGAACCATGATATATCTTGTCTCTTGAGGATGGTCCTTGGGATTTTGGCTGAGAAATAGGTGAAAAGTGGGACATTTACTGAAGCAGGAAGGGACCAGGAAAGGCAGTCATGGTTGACCCAAATAGTGGGAAACTGTGCTTCCCCTAAAAGACCTGTGTTAAACACATCTTTATCTGACTACTAGATCTATTTCAGCAGACTAGGTAATAAAGGAGCAGCTCAGAGCAGAGGTCAGGAAAGGCTAGGGGTCAGGGTTGGAGGTTGACCCAGCAGAGGCTAAGCTGCAGGGAACCACTCATCTGTCAATGAGATGCTCCCAATCACTCAGGGTAAACCCTAGGTGAAGGAGCAGGACAACAGTTACCTGAATTCACACTTAAACGGGGGTGGGAGGGGTGGGAAGGAGTGTGTGTGTGCAGGACCAGCATAGTGGTCACATGACTTTGTATCTGGAACACAGAGGAGGAGGAGAAATTAACCTGCTGGTTTCTGGGAGCCCTAATTTCTCTACTAATTTACAATTCAGGCCTCAGTGGCCCTTCCAGTTTGAGACTCCTAACTCAAATCGAGTGTGTGGAGAAATTTCTAAAATTTCTCTGTCATGCTTTTTGGTCCTCTGAGTTCCCTGATCTCCCCTACAGAATACCTGGTTCTGTGGTACAGACCAACACTTCTTGTCTTATTGCTGTGTAGTGTGAGGAGTTGTGTCTGGTTACCCTGCCATGAGGCCTTGAGCCCATCAAGGGCAGCTCTGGAACTGCCTTCACCCTCTGCTTGACATCCTGGTCAGGAAGTTGATAGTGGGAAAACCATGTAGGATTGTGGAAGGGGACATGGGAACTCTCTCCACACTTTGCACTCAGTGAATGTGCTCTAAAAAGGGGGGGGGGAAGTATATAAGGAGAAAGAAGTCATTTCCTATTCCCACCTGAGAAGCACAGTGGTTGTGCCTCTTTGATGGCCCCCGAGAACCAGAATCTGGGCCCTCAGTCTGGAATGTAAATCCCAGCCCTTCTCAGAGCCCCAGTCTCCTCAACAATACAATGGGACAGTCACCTCTCTTTAGGAACTTAATCTCAGACAAAGTCTCAATAAATACAACAGCAGAACTACACTGGTCCAAATGGGAAAGATCTGTAATTCTCTTTCGAGCCCCACCCCATGCTTCTGAGATGGCCTAGCTCTTTCAGAGCCTGCTGTACACTCAACCCCTTTATTTTACAAAAACCATGTTGCAAAGCTGTGCCCAGGATGGATAGTGAACTCAGAGGACCCTGTAGAAAGAAAGACAAATGAGCCATATTTCATTTTCTAATTGCCATATAAAAACAAATCATGTGAAATTAATAGATTTGGTTTTCCAAAGCAATTTTAGATGCCCAGCAAAAGTGAAGAGAAGGTAGAGATTTCCCATTCACTCCCTGCCTTCCTGCCAGCCTCTTCCCCCATCTATATCACCTTAATCAGTCGCTTTGTTAAGGTGAATTAACAAATTCACCAGCACAATCACTCAACTTCATAGTTAGGGCTCATTTCTGGTATTTCCTATCTTCTTGATCGAGACAAACATACAGTCATGTACACATCAGTATAATATCATACTACCTGAAAAGTCCTCTCTACTCTGCAGTTTCATCCCTGTTTTTTTTAAGCTGTTTTAAAAAGTTATATTTAAAACAGTTAACATATTCCAGATTAGTATGGTGGCACACCTGTGTGGTCCCAACTACTCAGGGGAGTGAGACAGGAGGATGGTTTTAGCTGGTAGTCTGAGGCCAGACCACATATCAAAAACACAAAGCAAAAACATGACATTGGGTTCTGACGCTCCTTGAGGCCTGAGAGTGAGTAATATGTTAGGAGTTCAGATAGTAAATATACTTTTAAAGTAAGAGTTTATTTTTTCATAATACATATTCTTTAAGCCTACCATGGGAGAATTTAGTGAAATATCATGATTCTGATGTGTGCTACTGAACACATTTACTGTACTCAAGTCACACGTCTCAGTCTCTCTGGGATGCTGTAACAAAAATTCTATAGACAGGTGACTTATGAATGACAGACAATGATTGTTCACGTTTCTGGAGGCTAGAAGTCCAGATCAAGTTTTTGTCACATGCAGACACTGGAGAGGGCCTGATCTATGGATCGCACAGGCACCTCCTCCCTGCAGCCTGCAGATATAATGAAGGGGTTCTGCTTAGGGACCTCCTCCCACCTCTATACTCAGCAAATAGGGCTGGGGCTTGAATCCCATTAAGGTCTGGGCAGTTTGGAGTGAAATTGTGCTCCACGGTGGCCATAAAGGACGCCCTTCATGACAAATGGCAAAGTGCTGAGTGTCAGAAGACTCAGTGAGCCAGGACCTGCACAGGATGGAGCCACAACCCACCCCCATTCTCCATTTTCCTGGGGTCTCCTCTCTCTTGGTCAGGACCCGGACCCTGCTCTTACAAAGAGGAGCTCAAGTCAACCACATCCCCATAGTCTCAAGTGGTCTAGCCTGGGTTTTCTGTTACCAGCACAGGAGTTCTTTTCAGACACCTGGCTTCTTCCTTGGATATTCTGAGGCCTCTTAACATTGTATGTACCTTCCAAGATAGAAAAGAACCACAAAGGTCAGCAGTCATGTGTTTTGGGGCCTTAATGTCCTCATCTGTAAGAAAGGGATAGTCACTGTTCTTCCTTCCTCACTAGAACTGTGAAATACAGGATAAAAAGTACTTTAGGATGTGGGCTGAGGTGTGACTTATCTCCATTTAAGTCTATTCTAAACATTTCATTTGGGGATGCCATCAGGATGACATGCAAAGGCCTAAAGGTACACCATGCTGTTTGGGACAGATAAACTTAGTAGAGTACAAAATGCTGCTCCCACACAGCTCCAGTCCTGCCTCCTTCCCTCAATGTTTATATCAGGGAGTGTCTCGCTTTCTCCCTCATTTTTGAAGGACAGTTTTGCTGGATATAGAATTCTTGGCAGGTTGGCTTGCTTTTCAGGCAACACTGAATATATTCCCCTGATGCCTGCAGGCCTCCAAGTTTTTGAAGACAAATCAAATTCTCCTGGGGAAATTATGATGAAAGGTATATCAATACATTTTAAAAACAGGGTATGGCTATCTTACAGCATCAAGTAAGTTGTACCATCACTTTGAAACAAGCCAGAATATTAAAAATAGTAACATAGTATATATAGACTTCAAACAACAAGTAATCTCTAATGTGCATAGACTTCAAGAGGTCTTTCAAAACAAAAGGTTCTCAAGGATTCTCAAAGCAGAAACTAAGGGGGCACTGAAGCATTCTACAGGTTTTAATTTCTAAAAACCTAAATATCAACCTCCATAAGCCACTTAAGCAACAATTTTTGTGGTCCTTCTTTTAGGAAAGTGCAAAAGGTCCTAGAGGCCAAAAACCAAGACCACCACTGTGTGAGTGGCCCAGCTGTGACTGGTCCCTATCTTGCCCTGATCTCACAAGGAGCCACTGTGAGGGAGTCACAAGGAGCATACATATAAGGGAGTATCCCCCTGGGGCTGGATTTTTGCCTGGTCTAGAGCAGGAAGCTCTTGGTTAGTGACCTGCTGGACTCCCATAGTTAGCTTGTTTGTGGTGGTTGGTTCTGGTGCTTGGGTTCGTTGGGAGGTGTTTGGTTTTTTTTTTATTTTTGCACTTTTCTATTTTCTCATTTATTTTAGCTTTTTTTTTTTTTTTTAGGGTTTTCCTTTTCTTTTTTTAGCATCATTAGTATTGCTGTCTATGATGTGTAGTGAGAGTTGTAGGGGGCTAGGCCAGCACGGCCTTGAGGCCAGCTTCTCCAATGAGGAACATCTCAGGACTCAATACCTGGTCCTGCGGAGGCTGGGCCGGGGTGGCTTTGGCCAAGTGAGACTGGCCTACCACCGCCTCACTGGGATGGAGGTGGCTGTGAAAGTCGTGAAGAAGGGAGAGCGTAACTTCCTCAGTGGGTCAGAAGTGGACCTGATGAGGGCGCTGGACCACCCGCAGGTGATCCGGCTGTTCCAGGTCATCGAGGGGCAGCAGCACATCTTCCTGGTGATGGAGCACGCAGCGGGAGGACCGCTGTGGCGCAGCATCCTCCACTTGGGGCGCCTGCGGGAGGCGGAGGCCCGGAGGCTGTTCTGGCAGATGGCGTGCGCAGTGCGCTATTGCCACGCGCGGGGCATCGCTCACAGGGACCTAAAGCCCAACAACATCCTCCTGGACGAGGCAGGCAACGTGAAGCTCGCCGACTTTGGCCTGGCCACGTGGTTCACGCCCGGCCAGAAGCTGCAACTGTTGTGTGGAGCTTTATCATTTCGGGCCCCAGAGGTCTACCTGGGCCAAACCTACGACGGCCCCAAGGTGGACGTCTGGAGCCTGGGAGTCATGCTCTACCTCATGGTCACCGGGCAGCTCCCGTTCAAAGGCATCACCCTTAGGGAGCTCAAGCCGCAGGTCCTGAAGGGAAGGTTCACCATCCCCTACCACCTCTCAGCTGTAGGGCGCAGCCTCATCTACTGCCTGCTGACCCAGGACCCCGTGCAGAGGCCCACGATGGAGGGAGTCCTGCTGCATCCCTGGCTCAGCGCCACTGAGGAACGCCCACCAACTCATTCCAGCCCAACGCTCCCTAACCGCCTGGACCCCACCATCATGCTGGTCATGATAGACATGGGTTTTGACCCTCCCCAGGTACGGGACTCTCTGCTGCGCAGACGATGCGATGAGGCCTCCTGCACCTACCTCATGCTCCAGCGCCAGAAACACCAGGGCCTTGGCTACACCTCGCCACTTCAGCCAGTGCTTCACAGGCCTATGTCTTGCCAGCTTCCCGCCATTCCTTCCTCCTCCCCTCCCACCCAAAAGAGTGCCAGTGCACCTGCCCTCAGCCCCATCACTTCCTTATCCCCTGTGGACCATTCAGAGGATGACTCACAACCATGGCAGGGGAGTAGCCAAAGAAGTACCATGTCTGCCACGCCCCTCCTCATGCTTCGGAAGAGCACCCCCACTCTCCTCAAAGTCCCCCAGAGTGATACTATGGCTGCCCCCTCGGCTGCACCCTTCTCCTCCTCCTCCTGGAGCAGCAGTGGGAGCAGCATGGAGAACCTCCGCATGACCTTCAAAGGAAACAATCCCTCGGTGGGGCAACTCCATGGTGTAAACAAACCCTCTGCCTGTGACACAGAGAGACTCCCAGAGAACCTTGGTTTAGCCTACAAAAGAAACAATCCCCTCGTGGGACAACACCATGGTGTGTACACACCCTCTGCCTGTTACACAGAGAGACCCTCTGGTGGGATCCCACACTCTACAGGTCAGGGGCACCGGCACTGGGAAGCAGTGAGCAGGAGGATTGCCAACTGTCTTCAGAGAATGTGCTGCTGCCTTCCAACCCCAAAGACACTCCCCTGGAACAGAGTGGTGCCAGGGAGATAGGTGGACAAGGGACACAGACAGAAAGGAAAACCAAGTAGGTGATGTGGTTCATGTCTCTGTACACAGGGTGGGGATGGTTAAATCCAGCTATTTAACTATCTGGCAGGTCCCTCTAGACCTCACTTACAAGCTGGAGTCTAGAAACATCCAGCCTAGAGGTAGAGTAGAAAGATGGTTACCAGAGCTGGAGAGGGAGAGGGAACAGGAAGGGGCAGTCATTGCTCAAATCATCTTGAAAGTCTACTGCACAGTCCTGTATAGTTCAGTCCCTAAAAGTCTTTGACATGACTCCCTGTTTTCAAGCAGATGCTAACATCAAGGTGTTAGGGATCAAACAGGTATGCAAACTGCCCTGGGATTTCAGTCAGGAGGCCACCTTAGCACCGTGATGACCTTCTGAATCTAGCTGGAGATCAGCAGTCACTCAGTCCCAACTGGCAGAAACTTTCTTTGACACCTTCAGGGACCTGTTCTTCTGTCCTCTCTCCCATGGTTCCTAAGAACCATTTGTGAGAAACAAATAATAAAACTGAGGCTCTGAAAAAAATTATCTCTTGTATGTGCTCCTCTGTTTTGCATACGGAATTGAGCTGTGCATACTGAATTTGAGCAGTGGGTAGTGATATGTTGTTCTCGAATTTAATCGAAAAGGGACTTTTGAGGCTACCTCCACCAGCAAAAGTGCTATGAAATGGACAAGGGTGCAGAAATGAAAAACAAGATAGTAATGGTAGCAAAGTGCACGAAAATAGCATGATGAAGTCCTGTGAACCAGAGAATTAGTGTGGTCTTCAGAACACCTTGCAGTGGGGTTGAGGACATAATGGGCAGGGCAGTTCTCTGAGAGGTCACCAAGAAACTCAGACCTCAGGTCTGGAGGGTGAAAACATTCCTGGTGGAGAGACAGTCCTGAGGCACCCTGCGGTACCAGTTTAAACGAGTTAATAAAGCAGGAGCTCAGAGCAATTTGTCACTAGGCCTGGGGGGGGGTCACGGTTGCAAGTGAGGCTGGCATATACAGGCTATGCTACATGTGACCACTCCACCTGCCCCCTCTGTTTAAATCCTCCCAATGAGTCATGGACAAACCCCAGGTACAAGACCAGGGTTTGGGTCACCAGTTTTGCACTCAAATAGGGGAGAGGGCGAGATGAGCCTGCTGCTCTCTGAGAGAGGAAGGGAGAGATGTTCTGTGGACAGTGGGCCAGTTCCTGCAGGACTTGTGCCACAGGAATGACATTGGGTTCTTGTGGTTGCTCTTGGGAGTTCGGAGGTGCCCACCATCTGTCTTTTGTGTAAAATCAGTCACGAGGGAAACAGTAGAGAGACTGTTGGGATGTCCCATTGAGAGATGGTTGGGGCTTGTCCGGCAGTAGTGGGGTAGGAATTGGCCTGGGTTGCACTGAAACTTTCTGAATATGTAGCTGTGTGGGGCAAGGAGCCCAGGGAAGGCAAGAGAAGAAATAGCAGCTACTTCCCATGGAAATCTACCCTTGCTGTACTGTAGGTTCTGTCCTGGGCCTGGGGACAGTGCTCACTGTCCTCATGCTCACCAGCCTTACTCTCATGATACACAATCCAGTTGGAGGACAGTCCATGATGCCCACGCACACATACCATGTTGCAGGGCAGTGCCCAGGACTGACACAGGCCTCTGACTGACCTCTAGAAAGAAATACAACACAAGCCACATTTCCTTTCTAATTGCCATGTAAAAACAAATCAGACGAAATTAATAGATTTTGTTTTTAAAGCAATGTTAGGTGCCCAGCAAAAGGGAGGAGATTTACCAGTCATATCCTCCCTCCCCTGAGCCTCTTCTACTATCTGCATCTTGCCCTCAGCATTCCCTCTGTTAAGGTGGAAGACAACACAATCATGCAAGTTCACAGTCAGGGATCATTCCCGGTATTGTATACACTTTGGGTTGAGACATTCCCACCTGGGTTTACAGTCTTTTACCCACCAGTATAATGTCATACCGAATAGCATCAATGCCCTAAAAATCGTGTACTCTGCTTTTTCATCCTTGTTTTTTTTTAAATCTATTAAAAAGCTGTATTTAAAAAATGTAACATGTTTTAAGACTGGTATGGTAGCATACTCCTGTGTTCTCAAAAAGGATGTGGGAAAAACCGGTTTCTGAATGTGCAGCAGACAGGTGTGGGGGGCAAATGGCCAGGAAGGTTGAGAGAGGCAGCAGCAGTTGATTTTCAGGGAAACCCACCCTCGCTGCCCTGCAGATTCTGTCCTGAGGACAGGCCTCATTTGCTTCACCAGGTTACCTCCTATCAGGCAGTCCTATGTTCAGTCCTCATTCTCTTGTTACCCAACCTGGCATGAGAAGAGCCCGTGGAAGTCCAAGTACAGCTGATAGGTAAGCTGATCTTTGCATCATCCACTTGTATCACAGTGAATCCAGTGTCACTGCCTGTGACAAACACGGCCTTGCCACTAACAACCATGTAGCTCAAGGAAGCTCCCTTGAAGTTCCCACTGCCCCTGGGGGCCTAGAAAGGAAAATTACTATAGGTTCAATTAGACACTTACCTGTTCCACGCACATGGAATTGAGAGGATCAAGAACAAGTGTGCTTCAGACTCAAATACTCACACACCAGGTCACCATCCACATTCTCCCACTCTCATTATTGCACACTCACACCCAAACATTCAAACTGAAACAAGGGCCACTCACACAGACATTTACATATCAACCATAAGAAATCATACACTCAATTTTACACACCTATACACTATACTCACACATGAATCAAACATTCACACCTATACACACATTCATACTCTCACAGTTACACATTCATTGTCAGTGTACACCCCATGGAAAACTGTGACACTGACCAACATCTGGCTCCCTTTGGCCCTCATTCTCTCTATTCTGTTTCGTTTTTGTCCTCATACTCTGAGGCACTTGCAACTGATACAAATACACACACCTGGTAGTGGCCCCAGCACTGGTGTCACATCCCAGAACTAAGGCTGGAGTAGAAACCAAACCTGGTCAGGGGTGGAAGACAAGGCTGAGGAATCATTACATTCAGCAGCAATGGAAAAGAAAAAAGAAAAAAGTTGTATCGTGACCACAACATTCAAGACTTCTAGGATATAATAAAAGACCAAACTAAGAACCTGTGGTTTATAAGAAGGAAAAAGATAGTAACTAAACTCATGGAGAACATGTTAAATTTTAGCATAAAATTTCTCAGATATAGTGAAAGAAATGGATATCCAACTACATGAAGCATTTAGAACCCAAATAGATGGATGGCTCAAATGGTTGAGCACCTGCTTTGTAATTATCATACTTTGAGTTCAAACTTCTATACAGCCAAGATAATAATAATAATAATAATAACAAAGAATCCCTAATAGACAGGATCATAATAGAAACTTTCCATGTCATATTTTAGTGATGCCAAGAGTAGAGAACAAAGAAAGAATACTGAAATCTGTGAGAGAAGAACAAGGTGTCTTACAAAGGGAAAGCTATCAGAATGACAGCAGACCTTATAGTACAAACCCTAAATATAAGGAGAACATGGACTAGTCTATTTTAAGTCTTGAAACAAAACAACTGCCAACAAAGACTACTATATCCACTGGTTATCAGTTAAAATCTAAAGAGAAATAAAGCCCTTCCATGATGAGCATTAAGTAAAGCAATTTTCTAAGGCAGCATGGAAGATTCATAAAGGAATATAACATTCAGAAAAGGTAGAATGATATATGCAAGCATAAGCATAAAAGCTCATGAAAGAATGAATCTCACTAGGAGAGTAGATACACAAATAGAATTAGGAAAGAATCAAACATTATGGACTCCTTAAACCTATAAATCATAAAGATGAAGAAGGGGGAAGTTAGTACATCCATCACAATAATAACCCTACATGCAAATTACATTAAATTTTCCAGTTAAAAGCAGCAGACTGAACAGATTAAAAACAAGAGCCAACTGTTTCCTTTCTACAAGAAACACACTCCACGGGCAAAGTTACAAAGTATGGAGAATGATATTCAAAGAAAATGGAATTTGAAGGCAAACAGGAGTAGCTATATTCATATCTGACAAAGCAGATTTTAAACCAAAATAGAGGGATAAGGGTTCCTTGTATTCACAAGGGGAAACACTCATCAAGAAGATACAACAATCATAAATATTTATGTACCAAATATTGCTGCAACTAAGTTAGAGAGACAAACACTCCTGGACATAAAGGGACAGATAGGTTCAAATGCAATAATAATGGGAGAGTTTAATACCTCACTCTTTTCTATAAATAGATCAATCAGATAATATATGAACTGCAGACTTAAAGTGGGCCATAGATGTTATCAGACATCTAGAGAGTATTCCATTCAACCTCTGTGGAATGTACATTCTCCTCAGTAGCAATAAACATTCTCTAAAATAGATCAAATTTCAGGCCATGAAGTAAGTCATAAATTACAATAATTCCAGCTATATGAGAGGGAGATATCCAGAGGATCTCAGTTTTAAACCAGTCCAGGCAAAGATGAGAGACCCACATCTCAACCAATAAGTTGTGTATGGTGTTGTTCACTGGTAATCCCAGCCATGCAGAAGGATACATAGGAGAATTGTGGTCTGATGCTGGCCACAGGCAAAAACTAGAGGCCCTATCTGAAAAAATAACTAACATAATAAAGGTCTTGGTGTATGGCTTAAGATGTAGAGCGTCTGCCCAGCAGGCAAGAAGCCCTGAGTTCATTCTCCAGTACTGTGAAAAAAAATACAAGAAAACTGAAATAATTTTTTATCCTGTCAGATCATAAGGGAATAAAATTACAAATGAATAGCAAGAGAAACTACAGAAACACATGAAGACTGAACAAATACACTTTTGAACAATCAGTGGGACTTTGAAAAAATTAGGGAGGAAATTTAAAAATTCTTAGAAAAGCAATACTACGTGGCAACAAAAAGGCATGAAACATTGACACCATGCTGCACCATGA